TGGGAGGTGTCTCTGCTTACAGAAGAGGGGGTTGGAACCAAGTGATCTTAACGGTCCCTTCCAACCCAAACCAGTCTATGATTCTACTTTTTTCTACTTTTGGCTACTATATTTACTATTATGTCCTGGCTAATTAAAGAGTGTAGCTTTAACCTCTTTCTTCTTCTCCTCTGTCTCTTTAACCTCTCTGTTTCTTCTTCTCCTCCAATCTCCTTTCCATTTTATGGTCCTTTCTAGGACTGCCTCAATACCTTTGGTGAAGTGAACCTTAAAATGCTGGTGTGAGATCTGAAGGAGAATTGGCAAACACACAATGACCCCATTCCTTCTCTCTGCTTTCTGGTTGTTTTTGTTTGTTTGTTTTTAAATTCTTCATATCATTTACAGGAGCATTCTCTGGTTATTTTTCTTCCCCTGTGATCAGCAGTTATGCAGCAGATATGGAGATACAAGATAGTTTTAAGGATAATGTTTCATTACCAGGTAGATGGAAATCTCTTCCTCTCACCTAATGGTAAAAATGTAGACCAAGGAAATTGGAATGTTAGATTTGTGCTGTGGCAGCAACATCATCAGAACCTTAAGAAGAAACCAAACGCTGTCAAAAAGCTCAGAAAGAAGAAATGAAGCCATTCCATTTCAGTGCCCATCCACTGAATTAAGGTGGTTCAGGTCAGACACGAGCGGAAGAACATAGAGAGAAACAATCCATGTGAGCAGTGGTTGTTCCTTTGCTCCCTGTGCTGATCCTTGGAGTGAAACCCAACTGTAACTGCTACCTATTAGGTGGGAAGCAAGAGAGTTTCCTTCACCCTAAATAGTTCAGCAAAATGGAGCAAAAAAGGGGGCTTCACATTTGGCCTTATTTATACAGCAGGACAGACTTTAAGGCCTTTCCTTATTTCAAACAGCATCCTTGTGCTTGGCTGGTCTGAGAAATCAATAGATGCTTTAGAGCTGTGCAGGAATGGGCTGAGCTTCTGAAACAGTGCTAGTTGATTCTTTCACACATTTTGGGGCCTGACCCAACTCCAATTAAAGTCAAGGGGAAAATTGTCATTGTGTACAGACAGGATTGTGCCAGGTTCTTCATGCAAGCCAGTCAGCCAAAGTTCACCGAATGCCAGTCCACGATGATGGAGAGAGGGAGTAGACATCCTTTCATCAGTTTGGCCTGAGGGAACTCGTGTTGAAAAATGAATTTTCCACTCTGAAAGTATTAGACATGTACAAACGCTCACTATTGATAAGAGTCCTGCCCTCCTTTGCCAATGGTTTCTCTTTGGATTTGATTGTCTTACTGGTATGCAGAAGGACAAAGAGAAATGACTGCTCCTTTGGCTAAATCCTCAGCAAAGGCAAATTTGCAGAGCTCAAGAAAAGTCAGTCTGAATTCAATCTGCAGAACTGGATCTTTGTTTATATCAAACTATATGTTTGGCTTCTTTGTCTTTAGCTAAACTGCAAACACAAGTTTTACAATCCATACATTTCATACAATCATGAAACTAAACCAAATCTTAGCTATAAAAGCACAGGCATAGATCAAATGGACAGACAAGCAAAGTATTCAAGTCAATCCTTCTGCCATGTTTGCAACTTTGGCTTCTGAGCTTCATATGGCATTTTCCAGAGAGAAGTAAAGAGAAAGACAGATGCTAAAATGGAACATCAGCAGGTCTAAAGAAAGTTAATGTGAAAAGCTAGAGTTTGTTCGGAGGCCTTTTTAGTCTGGAAGTGAAAGAAAGAATACAGAAGAATGCAAGCAAATACAGACTGGAAAGTGAGGCAATTTTTCACACAGTCTGAGTAACCACTGGATGCAGTGAAGCTTTTCCATTCAAAATGATTGACTACTGAGACAGAAAGCATTCTGAAAGAATTGGAACAGTTATTGGAGGAGTCAGGATGGGTGGCACCACAGAATCTCCTAACCTGATGATATCTACATCTGGATGCTTAAAGCCTGTATCCGCTAATACACTTGAGCATATGCCAATCTGTAAGAAATTTAAGTCATCGTGATGTTTCAGGTTCACATAATCACAGACATACCTTCTAACTTAGGGGGATGACAGAGAAACTACTGACTGCTGGTTCCTTGGGCAAGTAACTGCATATCTATGTGGCCATGAGATTTCTCTACTGTTTCTCCCTCTAAAATACTCAGGGTCCTCAGTAGTGCTTTGTTTCCCCCTGGAAAACACCACAGTAACACACATCTTTAGTAAGGCTGTCTTCTAAAGGTCAGTCTATGTGCTGTCACATGAGGGGAAGGATCCCCTTTGTGCCTAAGAGTGGGCCTAATTGACTTGGGCCTTTCCTTGTAGCAGCACAAAGGTCTAGGGCCACTTTGCATTGGTTACGGGATCAGCTGTAGGATCATTACATCACAGAACCATCAAGGCTGGAAAAGACCTCCAGTCCAATCTTCCAGCCACCACCACACACCTCAACAATCAGCATCCAGTGCAGGTCGCATGTTGTGATGGCTCAGTGATTGCATTGGTCCTGATTATCTGAAATGCTTACTGCCACATTCTCAGACTTTGTGGCCCGCAGACAAACCTAATTTTTCGGGGCATCCGTGCTGTCCTCAATGGTAATGGTTGGATATAACAATCTTGAAGGTCTTTTCTAACTCAAATGATGCCATGCAGGTCACAGAGAAAGTAATGCCTCCTATTTATTTCCATGGAAACTACCTGCATGATTCTCTGAATCTGTGCTTGTATAATCCCAAAGTATTTGACTTTAAAATGCCTCAGAATTCACACTGTAACTGAAATTTCCCACACTATACAAAATGAAGTAGAATTGAAATGCTACCACACAAAGCCAACGAAGGTAGGCACTTTTGTCCTTTTTTCCTCTCCAATAAACTTTCTTCTCCAATAAAAGATGGTTATTGCTTTGGTTCTCCCTTCTTCTAAAACGGTACAGTGGTGACAGCATTCAGCAAAGTGAACTGCTTGTTCAAATCTCACCTGAGACTGAATGAGCTCAAGGCCAATATCTTGCATTATCAGTAGAAACAGGAAACCTTCCATAGATCCTTTATCAGACCCTAGGTATATGAACTAGTTAGCACCCATATCCCCCAAGGCAAAACTTTATCTTGCACAAACAACACAATTATTTCACCTAGCTCAAGCCAACCAAACACTGCCAAACTCAACATAAACACAATGGATTTTATGTCTCCAAGCAAATGAATGCTAGGAGAAGCACTGCAACTGCATTTCATGTAGGTATGTTTTCCCTACAACCTAAAATGTTTACCAGATTGTTGGGTCAAGTTGTGTGCAGATTCTGCAAGGAGTAAGTTCAGCCCTGAGTAGTGGAGACAGACTGTCCCACATGCTTTTGTAGCCCTTCTGGAAGACACAGCCATTAACCCTGAACTGACATTTACCACAAAAAATCCTCTGCTTGGGAGGAAACACACACAGTGTTGGAAGCCACGATCTGCCTGAAAGCACCCTGACTTCCAGGAACTGCAGATTCTGCAGGACAACGTCCAGTGTTTATGCACAGAAGTGTTTCAGCAGACACTTCTCACACCATTTTCTGCAATCATGCCTCGGTCATGACCCGCTACAAACTGCCACAGGGGTGAGAGGTTACGTCAAACTCCACGGCTCACTGGGTTCCTGGCTCCTCTGCCAATTAGCACTGGCAGTTATGTGTGGCAGCAGACACCGGCCAATTGTTCATCCCAATTTCTGTGTCACTGCAATCATTCAGGGCTTTCACAATGAAGCCTCACTGTTGGAGGATACAGATTCCAGTGAATCACAGAGGGAAAATAAAAATGGAGAGTGGTATGTGGTCACTGCAATGGGAACGTGCTGTGCTGTGGATGGATCTCAGGGAAACTCTGGGAGTGGGACACGCCTTGATATGGATTGGGAAGTGCTCATGCAGAAAGGCCACTATACCAACAGGGATGGCACTTGGAGTACTGATACAGAGAGGTCAAAAGGCAAGGAAGAAACTGGGTGGATAGCAAAGACAGTCTTTTCTGTTGCTTTATGATGCAAACATAAGTCCAAAAGAGATCCTGCTGGACTGCTGTGCCCAGTCACCTGCTATTACCAGCAAGTAGATCATCTATTACAATGAATTTATTATGGAGTACTTAATTTAATTTAATTTTTGGATGACTTTTGATCAACCTGGGGGCTGGAACTTGATGACCTTTAAAGATTCTTTTCAACCCCAGTCATTCTACGATGCTGTAATCACACCTCCCTACTTAGGAGATTAATTCATGACTAGTGTTCGCTTGCATCAAAACAGCTCTTAGATAAAGAGCTCTTCTCCCACCTCAATGTTAACTCCAGCTGATTACACTGAGCTTAAAAGCAGGGAAAACATACCAACTCCTTTATTCCCTTCCTTTATCATCCCAGTGGGGAAATCTCACTGTTATACAGTTAGCATGGAACAGAGATCCAGATGAAAAACAGACAGTTACATCTCTATATAGATTTCCTGCCTAAACTCCTGCAGGGACCTGGTCAGTGCAATCAGAGGAGCCCAAAGAGCCCTCCAGCTCACAGAGGGGCCTTCTTCAAAGTGAGGCAGACAGCTCACAGCTCCAGCAAACCTATTAATTAGATCTCAGCTGACTATGATTGCATTTAACAAACAGAGATTATGTATAGGTACTGCCCTGCAGATATCTCAGAAGAGTTATCTGACTCTGGATCTCTTACCATCACTGAGGGGAAAGGCTTTATTAAATCCTTAAGCAGAAGACTAAAAGTCTTCTTTGACTGGGACATCCAACAGATTAATCCGAAACCCTGCTCACTTACTTCATGCCCTTTAAATTAAACTTCATCAATCAGGCTTTTGTTTCTCTTCAAATAAGAACAAAAAAACAAAGTCTTCCCAAGACAATGTTTCCTATCCATTTGCAAGGCAGTTTTTGGTGCACTGTTTTAGAAGCACAACAGAACAAAGTGGAAAATTCAATATACACAGCTACTTACTGAGCTCACAAAGCAATGTTCAGGTTCTCCACTTTCAAACAGGATGACATCTTTTATGAAGACTGCGATGGCTCTCATTATAAAGGACATGAAGAGGTGCATATGGATATAATTTCGAGTACAGTGCAGTTTTCTGTTGGGAAGAGACAACATTTCTGAATAGCATGACTTCTCTAAAACGTTATTTATCTATTTACATGTTTCTTCTGCTGAGATACTGGCTTACAATTAAACATCAGAAACCCTGAGACAGACAATGTTTTGATGTAAAACACAGCAAATCCACTTAAGCCCTTTAAAAGCCACAAAAGACGTGACATTGCATATATCTGTGGCAGCACTGCTGCTTTTCCAATTCTGAGAAAAAAGGTCAAAACACAGAATGACAGAAAAAAGGTCCATTGTGCCTCTTTCCATTGGAAAAGTGAGTTTTTTGATTCAGTAAAGTGTGTTCACGAGAAAGGTCAATTTTCTACAGCATGCTTGTACCGTAATAATTCTTCTCAAAGCAAAATGTTTCTTCAGGAGGAGAGATAAATTCTTAGCAGCTGCTGCCCAAATTAACTCATACTGCAGGCACTCTGTAGCAATGCGGGTAATATTTTCACTTTAAAATTACCAGTTATTCATTATTTTGCTGTTTTTGCCATATATTTAAACAACACTATAACAGGAGGTTGCCTCGTGCATAGACTTGTTTGACGGAGGAACCCAAATACAGATGTCTGAATCCAGGATCAGCAACAGGGCCTGAGGATGAATTCAGTTGCCAACACTTAACCACCCAACGCCATTTAATTTGCTGCACTGCATCTCCATCAAGGCCTGGGTCTCGTGATGGAGCTCATGCTCTTACCTGAAGAGACATAAAATGATCATAGCAGCTGTGAGAGCAATGAGTGATAAGGTATGTCCAATGGTGTAGCCGGTCTTGACTGTGCCATAGAACGCCGTTTGCTAAGGGGAAGGAAAGAAATAAAAACAGACTTTCAAAGAGCTGCCAAAATCCACCTAAATACACCATTGCTGAGCTTGTTCTGACCTCCTTGCTGAAGCGAGTCGAACTCCATTCTCTTAAAAAATTCTCTGTAAAATCATATCTGGTAGAGAACATAGAATCATAGAATGGCCTGGATCAAAAAGGACCACAATGCTCATCTAGTTTCAGCCCCCTGCCATATGCAGGGTCACCAACCACCAGACCAGGCTGCCCAGAGCAGAACATGATTCAAATACAGCTGGTGTGAATAAGAAGAACGTGCCTGGATCACACCAAGACCATTTCACAGCTACACAAGTGGAAACTGCAGAGGATGGAGTCTGAATTTGACACTTGCAGAGACGGCTACATGGTTACAACCTTGTGAAACAAGAACAGCTAACGTTCACTTAAACAGTGCACTGACATGTCAGCTCTGAGTACGATGAGCTTCCTTACATGAAGGGAATTTTAGGGACAGAAGTGGTCTGGGTTTGCTTTTGTGGAAGCAAAACATTGTGTTTTACTAAGAAAAAAACAAACCAACTTAAAACGTTCTCACTGAATGCACAGATATGTTCATTCAGAAATATATTTTCATTTGCAAGTTGGTCCATAGCTTTTCTCTTTGTCTGCACACAGAGGGATTCTCTGAGCATGGAGCACCATGGGATTTAAATCCAACGGGGAATCCTGGTATAAATAAAATGAGGAAATACAGCAGCAAGATTTCAGCTCTCCTAAGGCTTTCCAGCAACACTCTAAATGAGTATATTTCAATTTTCAGCTGAAAAAGAAAAGTTTGTTTTCAAACATTTGTTTTATCAGTGTTTTGTTTTCTTTTTCTTTTTTTACTAATTTGATATTTTTTAACAAGAGTCTAACTCAGTAAAGAGTGTTTTCCCAAATAAAATCTAATTTTCCTAGCCCTTGACTGACCCTTTTCTACCTTCCTTGCCACCACTTTCTGTTAAATAAAACAAACAAAGTCACAAAAAAAAACATACTGATGGATAATCTAAGCCCAACCTTATCTGGGAAAACACTCTTGACTAACAGCGAGGGCTGACATTTCTATAGGTTATTTTCATAGCCTTGACAAGCACTAGGTGCTTTTCAGGACCAGTGAAGCTGTGATGCAAGGTAATCCTCTAGCATTTACACAAGCCAGCTTGGAGGGGTGTTAACACAGAAATTTCAGAGTGCTAGGGTTAGACTGGCCATGTCTGCTTTGCTTCTTGGACCATGGATCTCAGAGATGGATTAAAGCAGAGTGTCTTCATAGGCTTGTTAAGTGAATCTACATCACTAAGAAATTCGGGTCATAATTCATAGTAAGGGCTTTGGGTCATTGGATCTACCTGATACAGTGATGGAGTCTGCCACCTGTATCCATGCCTCACCCACCTGCAGAGCATGAAGGGATGCTAAACTAAGCTTACATGAGAATTAGCTTCCTTCCCTTCTGGACAGTAGCCTCTATGTTTGACTCTCGGTAAACTGAATTAGGATGTGAAATATTCACCTTCGTAAGTGCAAAAGAACACTAATATTAAGTCTTCCAGTAGCCCTGCACGTAGGCTTGATTTGGGATAGCATCACATGTGCTGAAGTCATCTGAGTTCTTTCTCATAAATGCAGATTCTCTCTCTTTGGCCAGAAATGTGGGGTTAGTATGTTTTTATTGCCTTCACATAGAGCCTACAGGGATGTCTGGGTGGCATCCTCAGATGATGGGGAAGCTGTGTATCACGTCAGATAATAGGACAGGAAAACAATCCTCCATTTCCTAATATACGGTTTTTCAGAGTCAGTCTGGAGAAGGAAGCATTAACACTGCAGAGATCATCAGCACAGTATTTTGGTGCCTATGTCTGCTTCCTAAGGACTGCCAGAATTCACAAATAAATTTTTAATACACACTCTCTTTATTTGTTTCTCATAGTTTCTTGCAGTTTCTGGTATAAGTGGTATAGGTTTTAAGCTCGTGAAGCATTTTAGGCATGGATGATGATCAATCTGTTCTGCACCTCATGTCCCATACAGCCTGCTGTTCTTTTCTTTTTCTATTCCTTTTACTTCCTCCTCCCTAGACCGACAGCCAATTCAACAACAACAATCCATTCTTCTTCACAGACTTGTACTGCATGTTCACCCCCCTCTGCCACCTTTCACAGAAATTAGCTTTAAACAGCATGACAAAACCGTGGAAATCAAGAGAAAATAATTAAGAAAGAATTAGAAGAACACAATATATGCTCTTGTGGCAACACAGAGTTCTGGGCAGTGCTGCAATCCATTGGGTCACCAAAGCACAAACCAGGAATTCCCAAATCCCTTTGCAGATGGAAAATAAACTAGAGCTCTTGCGGGAGGGCCCTTCCAAGCAGTAATGCTTTCCTCTGTAATGATGGCTCTTAAAATGTGCAATCAGTGCCACTCAACTCAATGTTAGGAACATGATATGTGGGATTTGTAGTGGTGGCTGACCTTGAAGGCTCTCTCTTTGGTACACCTCTTCTTTTTTGTTGTGTGTGTAACCTTCCATTTGGTATTCTCTGTATCATATTACTATTAAGGCTGGTTAAGTTCAGCTCAGATTTTCTGTTAACAATTTGTGTGCCTTTGTAATGGGTGACCCCCATTATACACAAAGGCCTCTCATCATAGACATTTACTTATTATTACCATGCAGTGCTCACCACACCATACAGTAGAAAAAGCAACAACAACAACCAAAAACAAAACCAGAAAAACAAACCAACCAAAAAGCCCCATCACAGGCATAGGTTTAACATCAATATATGATTGCAGTAAAAGAGCACGAGATTTTTTTTTTTCTAGCATGAGTTTTTCTTGTTTAATATGAGAGAGCTAGCATAGAATCATAGAATCCTTCCAGTTGGAAGGGATCTTTCAAGGCCATCAGGTTCCACTCACTGCAATGCACAGGGACACACACAGCTCCATCAGTGCTCAGAGCCCCATTCCCTGACCTCGAGTGTGTTCAGAGATGGGGCACCACAGCCTTTCTGGAAAACCTATGCCTCACCACCCTTTCATAAACAACATTTTCCTTATATCCAGCGGAAATCTCCTCTCTTTTGGTTTGAAATCACTTCCCCCTAATAGAGACATGGCTCTGATCTTCTCAGGTGCTGAGATCCTGCCACTATGCAGGAATTTAAAGGGAAGATTGGCTCTTTGGCGAGGCACTTCCCAGGAAGATGCCTCCTTTTCAAGGAATTAAAGTAGGAATGAAAAAGTAGAGCATCAGAAGGTGGTGTGGCTCTGCTATCTATCCCAGGTAAATCATGACATCCACCCATCCATCTGGGTTTACAGACCTCTTCCCCTGGTGTGCTGTTGGAATCGTAGCCACAAGCGACAGCATACGGTGCAGGGTACACATCTGTCCAGCCCTGACTTGTGCAATTCCTGCTCACATTTCCTGGAAGAAAAAGAAACAGAAGATTAAAACAAGACTCTCTGGGCACGCTCTTAAACAAACGTTTGCCTTTTGTTAATTCAAATACCAGAGCACATTTCTTGTAACACGTGCAGCAAGTCTTGTAATTTTCCTCTGCTAAAATGTACTCATCTTACACAATGCAAACAAGAAGGACCAACGGGGTCATAAATTCATTCTGCACAAAATAAGCAGGTTTTAAACTGAGATGTCCACAAAACACTCTTACAGTGGTAACATAACTCAGCTTGAACTTGGTTCCTCCACCGTGGGCAATGCAAAGATGTTGTTTGAGAACATTACTGTCTCCATTCCTGGAATATTTTTTTTTCACCTAACCAGAGCAGCAAAGTGTTTAAATCTTTCACTTTGCTTGTGAGAAGCTAAGTGCTCACTTCCTTGCTGTGCAACCAAGTGGGAAGACTGGGAACTGAACGCACTCCTCAAAGCCCAGACCTTGCCCACAATACAAGCCCTGAGCTTTATTCAAATGTGATTCCCAGGAAATCTACCGTGCTCTTGTTTGACAATGAAATGCTTCAACATTTGGCTACAAGGAAGAGCCAGTGACAAAGTGTGTTGCCTGTTTTAACACGTACAAAAGGCAGATATTCCTCAATAAAGAATTAATCCATCAAAAAGTAAATTTCACATTTCCCCAGCACCTTCTCTGACCACTTAAACCATTCTTAGTCCATCTCTTGTGAATCACACCACTGTTCAGTCAACTTCCATAATCATACTTGTTGGCTGGTCGGCATTCCTTGGGTGTCATTTGTCACATAAAACTGCCTGCCATCCCTAACTGGAAAGCTGGTACAATAAACCAGAAGAAGTAAATGGTAAACAGTCAAAACTTTCTTACGACTTCTTAGATGAAGAATTACACCAGTGCAACTCAAAAGCTATGCAGACATCTCCAGAAATGGGGATCTTTGCACATGAGAGTGATAAAACTACTGCAAACAGGAGAAAATCAGTTCTGCAGCCATGAGTCATGAAAATATCCAAGCATCACCTCCAGAAATTTCTGCCTATTGAGTCATCTGAACATCTTCCTTACTATAGACCTCTCTGACACTGACACTAGCAGCAGCCTATCCCCTGATTTCTTTCAGGTCTTGAATACTTCACAGGTGGGTTTTGACCCTAAAACCTGTCCATGTAATTCATCCTTACAATCAGCCTGCACACCATGCAGGCTCTGCTACCTTTGTTTTCTATCAAAAGGAGAAAGTAGTTGAACTGCTCCAGAAGCAGCTACCTGCAGCACAGTTTGGAGGGCTGCTGTTCCTCTGGCTTTATGCATGGTCACTGTTTACATTCATTTTTTATTTACCTGGGTTCACATCAAGATCACGAGAAATCATGTTCAAACAAATCAAGGACACGACTGTTCAGTTTTTGTTGTTTATTTTCTAAGGTGTTATGTAATTTCTGTTATTTCTTCTTCTTTACAATGGATCCCATTATTTGACCTTTTTCTGCTGCTTATTTCCTGCTCATGACTCCCTCCTTCTGTTTGGGGATGCCTTTGGTTTTCATGGTGGTTTTTATCTTAGCTTCTCATTGTCAGCAAGCTAAGAGGGCCAGTTTCAGCTTAATTCATTTCCTCATATTTCTTGTACTTCTAAAGTGTACTTCCCCTTAACTGTTCGACTCTTTTGCTGTTCTTCTCACTGCTCACAACAGTTTTCAAAGCTGTCTTAATGCTTCAACCGATGGTAGAGGAGAACTAAATGGTACATCCTCATGGCAACGAAAAACAAACCAACCAGCTAACCAATCAATCAACCAACTTCCTGACTTCAGGGAATTTCTCTGATAAGTCTTCTACCACTCTTCGCTGCTCGTATCACTATTTGATGCAAGATTCTAACATAACAAATCTGATAAAACAAATGTTCATAGTTCTCAGATTCTGTGCTAGATGTCTGGGAGGTGCAGAAATGCAAGGCTAGAAGATACAGATTTTACCACACTAAAACGTTGGCTCAAATGACAGAGCAAGCATTTCTAATCGCTATGTGAAATGAGGATGATCACTTCCTATACTGAAGTTGAACATAAATGTTCGATATTAGGAATAATTTCTTCTCTGAAAGAGTGGTCTGTCGCTGGAATGGCTGCCCAGGGAGTGGTGAAGACACCATCCCTGGAGGAGTTCAAGAAAGGCAAAGATGTTGCACTAAGGGACATGGTTTAGTGGGGAAATGTGGACTAGATGATCTTGGAGGTCTTTTCTGACCTTGGTGATTCTATGATTCTAGGATAAAGCTTGGAAAAAGCTTAGCTCTTACTCTGAGATTTACCTAATGAACCAACAGCAAACTAATTGTAAAAATTCTATGCTACAAGCCCAAAATAACAGTGCAGAAACCTGAACATAAATACACAAACAAACAAATCCTCAAGCAGGCAAATATGATGTAAAGAGGTAATCCTTAATCTTGGATTTCACTTGCATCTTCCTGGCCTATAAGCCCTACCATTTCTTTGTATGTTGAATGACAGCATACCCTATTTCCTTATTTAGACCTGATGATGGACATTTTCATTTTGTACCTCTTCTCCTCTACACCATGAAATGATCATTCCCCACCTACTTTCTCCACAATATCCTGACCTGCACTTTTTGAGCCCAAATTTCTCTAGTTTGAAGTGCTTACATCCAGCTGGTTTCCACCCACCCTTTAATCATGCACTGCTCCAATGATGGAATTCTCCTTCAGATCTAAGTCCACCCCAGTGTCACCAGCTTCACCTTCCATGAAATCTTCTGGCCTTTCTGCTGCTCCCTCTGATGCCCACAAAAGTAGAACAGTGGAACAACTGCAAGGCCTCCTCCTGTCTCCAGGATCCTCAGAGCCCTCTGCAGGTTGTCTAACCCAAGCTCTGCAGTGAATGTTCATCTTCACTGCCATTCCTCATGAAAAAGAGATGATCTTCTACAGCAAAACACTGAACACAATTCATTAATTGGGACAGACTTTCTTGGACAAGAACACAGGCAAGGAAAACTTTAATTCAATTTCTTGATGTGTAAATGTATTTGGGAGTGACATGAAGAGACATGAATCTGAACAACTTCTCAGATTGAGCGATACCCAGCAGTAAAGGCCTGGCAGAGGAACCACACAACATATTTGTGGCAGGAGGAGTCAGTGAAATTGAGATGGAAACAGAATATTTTCTTCCAACAAAGGCTGTCTGATCTGCATAGGAGTTACACACTGAACAGTGTGAACCAAACAAATACAAAGAGGTAACTGTATTCCAAGCAATTTGTTGCACATATCCAACTCTCACAAAGTTTTTCTCTTAATTATTTTTATCTCCCATCTGTTTCAAATACACTCTTCAGTCTCAGAAATACATCTGAAAGCTTGTGACATAGGTGAGATTTTACCTCTTTGGCTTTAATGGCAGAGCACATCTTATTGGCTTTTAATGGAAGCCTAAATCCATACAAAGATATCTGATGCCAGCCATTGCTAAGGGATGCTCTCCCCCTTGTTTCTCTTGCCCACAGCTGTAATAGCTTCTAAAAGAGAGGGGAAGGTCTGCTCCATGCAGCAATCTCTCCTGTTTCTCTGTTGTTGTATTCCATAGTCAGAAATCAATTTTTTCAAGCAGGAGCTATTAAAGCAATAGCAGCTCTTATTTACTATTCTTGAGATGCTGCTGAGCTCCCCCAAACATATGTAGTTCCATTTTTATTATTGATCTGCCCTACCATTACTGGGAAACACCTGAGACCTCCAGACAGAGCTACACTTGTTCTTAATTGGATACAGATGTGGCTGGATCTGGGAGAAGCTGAAGTGATAAAGCACAGTTAAGATATTTCCCAAACTTGCTTTATCTGCCCCAGTCCTGACCTTTCAGATCATTCTTTCAGTACGATTTCTGCCAGCACAGCATACAAACAAATTGTGGCATGGTATCAACACATCATATGACAGTTGCTGCCTTCAGTTTTCTCTTTCTCTCCTTTTGCTCTTATTCACATCGTTTGGTCTGTGGTTCTTACTTCCACGCTGCTTTGCCCTACATCCTTGATTCTGGGAGATCTCCCATTTTCCTTTTTATTCCTTTCCCTTTCCTGCACATTACATTTCTCACCACAAAGATCCTGATCCTTAATAAGTACAGGTAATTCCTCCCTTCTTAACCCCACATATTCCCCTTTATTAGGCATTTTTTGCAAACTTTGTTTTCTCAAAATGAAAGCAGAGCTGTCAATCTCTAGGACAAATTTCTCATTGGATCTTCATACATTGCAACTATTAGTATAGCAGGTAATATTTACAAGAATAAAATGCACAGTTTTGCATAAGTGGTGGCATTAACCCCACGAGGCATCAGCTGACAGCAGGCTTTCAGTGTGAGGATCTCACAACACAATATCATTGGGAGTACACAACCTTCTGAGCACCAGACCTTCAAAGGAGCAGTGCAAATGTGTCATGACACCCCAGCTGCAAACAAACCTCAGAGGGCTGGGGCAAGATCAAGCCATAAATAAGCCATACATCCAGATAGCCACCTGTTTCTTCAGTCAATTACACCAGTGCACGTTGCTGGAGCTTGCTAACACAGAGCGGTGCATTCTTTAATGCAGAGAAAAAGATCACCACTAATCTATGGAAACTCAGCAATCCAGCATTGATTTCTGAGTTGGGACTTCTGTTCTTCTGACAAATGAGCAAAATGGATGTTAAAGAGTGCTTGGAGGCTGCCATGATCAATATAAGGAGCAAGAGTGTTGGCTGTCTTGTCCCCCGCCTCATGACTTCCAAGGTGGACTGTGCAAATATCTGGCCAGTTCCATGTAAATGAGAAGGTTTCCTGGCAATTTTGTCTTTGTGATAGGAAGGCAGGCTGAAACAGGCAGCCCAGGGGTGTGGTAGAGTCACTGTTTCTGGAGGTGCTCAAGAAACATGGAGATGGGGCAGTGTGAGACATGGTTTAGTGTTATG